GTATCCAAACCACTGGCCAATTACCCCCGGGTCAGCACCCTGCACCGTGTCCGGGGCAATAGATCCCGCGCAATCTTCATCCTCCTTTGTTACATCTCTACCGTTGCCAAGCAACGGTAGCGTTTAAATATGCTACTGTGGGGGGCGGACAGTAGTAGCAGTCTCAGGCCAGCAGCGCTAGCTGCTAATCGCCGTTGGACACGCTAGTGTCCATGGCAATCGTAGCATTTTGGTATCCCCAACTTGCAGTTTAGTAGCCCTCTAGTACCTGCACACCATTTAATCCAATCTCATCTTGTGTTTTATTATAGGGACGGGCATTCACAGCTTGGTGGCCCGTACCTCTTCTTTGCATATCGCGAGATAAGAAGATCATGTATCAATGATGTACGATGGCTGTTATTGCTCATGTATTGTGCCAATCTGAAGTAAAACAAGATCTTGATGAAATGTTGTGATTTACATCTGGATCCGTGATTGAAAGCACATGCAACCACCCACGCCTTTAGTCTATGATGACGCACAAGCTCCATAGCGCGTAACACCTTTGTTACACTCCCGGTAAAATCTCTGAAATCAGTGCAGGGTGACTAATGAAATACGGGAGGACGCGGCTATTACAAAAACCTTGAAATTTACCTCTAACCCCAAATATAGTGATTATTATTTTCTTGTTCATGTCTTTGGCGATGTCATCATAGTGTATTTTGAAAAGGTTTACGACTGACTTAATCAGATCCCGGGTGACTTCATGAGATGTTTCATAAACCCATCTCGGCGACCAAAAATGCCGTTTGTCATCAACCACACAAAAACACTGTGAAATTTTGAAGCCTGGCAATTTGGTATAATTGTGCCATTGTTAGGGAAATGGAAAAGAGAAAATCTACCTGTCTTCATATTTCTTTTCAAATTCAAAGTTATAAGAAACGAGAATTGTGTTTATGTGTATGTTGCCTATATCATTTTAGAACTCAACTATCATCAAGATGCACATAAGAATAATACTCACTAACTTGGAGGGATGATTTCTTGATGCAGGATCTCTCCAACCATGCTAGACTTCCTTTATCTCCATATGCACTTATTTCCCATGCAAAAGCAGGACGTTGATAAATGCAAATTTCACAGGTCAGAAAGAAAGACTGTATTTCAAAAAAGTGTCATGAACAAGGAATAAAAGCTCATACAAACGTTCCATGTACCTAATGTTTCCTAAACACTCACGTAGTTAAATACTATTAGCAGCTCTTTCCATATCATGCAATGAAGGGCTTTCGGACTAAAATCGCGAGAGTATTTATTAAAACATTTGATAATAATTTCGATACCTTTAACTTTACTTTTGATGTCTTTTATTCCATCCGTGATGCAAGCCATTCCGCATTGCTTTATTGATTACACAGACAGGCCATATTTAGACTTGTACGTCTTCAGACATGATTCACACATTAAATAGCGTTTCCTGTTGACGTAGTGTCGAAGGAGTCAATGACACACTTTGTTTCAACTTTCATGTCTACATTCAGAGGTTCAGGACAAATTGTCCACAATGAAAGCCAATGTCCTCTAAAGTTTACAGAGAAAACAATATGTGAAATGCTGGCCTTTCTAGTTGATAAGATCTATGTAAAATGCAGGATAAGGCTTCTAGGCAAGAAGAAGGCATCCCCATGGGCACCAAGTCTGGCTAAGGGGCGGTCGGGAAGCCAAGTGGTTAAAGCGTTCACTTGTCACGCCGAAGACCCGGGTTCGATTCCCGACATGGGTACAATGTGTGAAGCCCATTTCTGGTGTCCCCCTCCATGATATTGCTGGAATATTGCTAAAAGCGGCGTAAAATCAAACTCACTCAAACTTCTTGCTAAACCGTTGCTTTATGCATATGGATCGGAATTTCAGGTTGGCAAAATCGAAACAAGTGGATTTGGTCAAGAAGATAAACTTACACTTGAGGTATATCGCTGCTCTGATATCGTTCAATAATGATCATTTGAATTACCCATCTGAACTAGAAATGAAAGAGGCCAATGAAACTGACTCAACTTTTGCGCATGTAGATCTATGCATACACATTTAGAGTGACAATAGCTATCCACATGACAGTATGACAAGAGGGAAGACTTAAACTTTCCAATAGTCAGCTCCCTTTTATGTCGAATATTATTACAGCACCAGCCTTTGGTGTCTACATTTTACCAATCTCATCAAAATCAGATCTAAGTTCTCGCTGCCGCTGAACAAAGATCTGAGGACATCCCATTACGGGTCACGTTAAGGTCTAAGAGATCTGCTGATAATCATCATACATCGTTCGTATGTCCAGCCTCTTGGCTTTGTGAAACATCTTTTTTGTAGATGATGTATCCTGTTATTCCAATACACCGTCGGTCTTCCGTTTCTCCCACAACATGATCCTTTTATCGTTCATTACAGTTTTGTTAAAGTGTGACACGGGATGCAAACACCTTGTTGTAGTGAACTTTCAGAAGCGTATGGTTGCCTCCAGAAGAGCCATCAAGACATATCAAGGTATCTCAGCGGGCTAATACAAGCAGACACACACACACACACACGCACGCACGCACGCACGCACGCACGCACGCACACACATACACACTCACACACACACAGCCACACGCACACAGCCACACACACACACAGACACACAGACACACACACACACAGACACACATACACACGCACGCACACACATACACACACTCACACACACACACACGCACGCACGCACACATATACACATACACACAGCCACACACACACACACACACAGGCACACACACACAGACACGCACGCACGCACATACACACACTTACACACACACAGACACGCACACGCACACACACACTCTCACACACACACACACGGCCACACACACACAGCCATACACACACAAACGCACACACGCACACACACACACAGCCACACACACACACACGCACACACACACACACACACGCACGCACGCACACACACACACACACAGAGCCATACACACACACACACACACACACACACACACACACACGCACACACACACGCACGCACACACACACACACACACACACACACACACACACACAGCCATACATACACACACACACACACACACACACACACACACACACGTACGTACGTCGCTGTATAAGTACAACAATCTTGGACGCGACGCAAAAAACAATTTCTTCTCACCTAACCATTGAAGGGTTAAGCGTTCCATCGAACACACATTCAGCTTTAAATAGTATGTATTATTCCTCTCTTGTCGTTTTAACTGACAGTTCTCTGAAACACGTAACATTTTTATTACTGTGCTGCCTGTTCCATATTATTGGCCTGTTACATGACGCGATGGTAGGAAACAGGAATTCGAGTACAGTTTGATTGTTAATAGACACTTGTTGATTTATTAGTGACTTCGCCCCTCCTATCACGTCGCCCTATTATTTTCACCAATACATGTGCATGATGCTTATAGCAAGGTAGCGCAGAATTATATTCATTGTCGGACACCCACTGGTCGCTAATACATAGGCACGATTCATGTCTTCAGAACGTCTTACTGAAGTTCGATGCTGATTTTGCACCGGTTTTAACAGGCTTTGCCAGGGTGCAAATTACGTTTGTTTCTAACTATTTGCCTTTGTATACAGCCAAACATTCATTTGGAAATGTATTTTCAGTCTATCTCCCCAACCCACCTTCACTCAGTCAATCTTCCGAAACCTCCTTCCCCTCAGTCAGTCTTCCAAACCAACATTCCCCTCAGTCAATCTTCCCAACCAGCCTTCCCCTCAGTCAATCTTCCCAACCAGCCTTCCCCTCTGTAAATCTTCCCAACCAGCCTTCCCCTCTGTCAGTCTTCCCAACCAACCTTCCCCTCTGTCAATCTTCCCAACCAACCTTCCCCTCAGTCAATCTTCCCAACTAAATTTCCCCCAGTCAATCTTCCCAACCAGCCCAGTGGAAGGGGTATGGAAGATGGAACCCTCCTTCCCCCCAGTCTCTCTTCCCTATCTTCCCAACCAAGGGTTTGCGCCTTCTCTTATGTATAAGGGGACATGATTTGCGCCCCTCGAGGGCGTCCTGTGACAGTGGAATCAAAAGCGGTATTAATTCTTTTTATAACGTAAAGTGAGAAAATACAAGCTTCTCGCGTATATACAAAGACATATTCCGTCACATTCGAGGTTTTTCAGATATAGAATGACTCTAGGCTCCCCTAGCTGCTCTACAAGACTGGACAATATAGAACATGTCATGTGGGAATTGGTTATTATATTGGGCCCAATATTTTTCTGCTAACCTAATAAGACACTGTATACCGCAACTAAAGACACCCTAACTAATTGTTTGCAGAATATGGAAAAAACAGCTAAATCCAAGTTGTTCCGACAAATGTTGATCTTATTAATACCGTATCCTTTTTGCCGATCGTGACGGCATGGGTTTTGTCAATTTTGGAATTTAAACTTTTTCATTCCCAGTGAAAAGCCCGTATGATGTATGTAGGTCCCGTGTTTTTTAACTTCTTCCAGTCATTTAGTATAGCTCGATGACTATCATAAACAGATTAACAAAAACACGGGAATGTTGCAACTCTGACAAAACATGTTGAGCATGATACGTGTGACGTACTTTGAAATCTTTGAACTAAGACAAGCTTGGTTGTACTTCAAAAGCTCTACACACCTCTTGGCAATCATGATGGATTTGGACGTTGTTCAACATCAACTGGGACAACGTCCAAATCCTCTCCAACAGCCTACGTGATTTCACTAAAAGAAATATTACAAACTTGCAAAAACTAACAGTTTGGCCTTACGTGCGTCACGAAAAGACATATGCTAGCAACAAGAAAATGGATATAAATACAACAAATGATGCAAAGGAGATTAGTCTTCAACACTGCCAGTGTGAGAGAAGGTGCTGACAGTTTAGTGTTAATGTTCATGAGGAACCCAACCCAACAACAAGTATGAGCGTGACCGACTTGGCAAAATCAGCGCTGCACGTCATGATTCTAGGAGAAACTGGTGTCGGGAAACGAGCTTTTGCCAAGGATTTGATTCAGCTACAAGAGGTATTGGGCGAAAGACCAACATCATTTGAAGATGGATATAAATGGACCACCAAAGACTGTGAGGTAATGTTTCATATCATTGACGTATCCCAAGACAGCGTTTCTGACAAGGCTTTGAAAATTAAGTTAAGGGCATGCGACGCCTTTATTCTGATGCACTTAGTAGAGGACAAGGAGTCTTTTGAGGTGCTGCCCCTGATCAAGGATATTATTATCAAAGAGAAAGGCATGGAAGCAGATTTGCCTATTTTTGTGGTCGGTTATAGAGTGGACTGTAAGGAACTAGTGACAGAGTCCCATATAGCTTCTGTGGTGGTGTGGGACTGGCTGATGAACTACAGGGAATTGTTTGAGGATAACGAGGAACATGTCATGAAACTATTTGGAGACATTATGGCAAGGTGTCTTGGGGACTTCTATGTAACAAGAATTCAAAAAAGAAGACCAAAAAAAAAGGAACCTCTCTTAAAGCGATTGAGACGTTTTTTTGGGATTTCACTGTAATGCTCATGTCGAGTTGACCTTGGGGTGTTTCAATTAATTGAACAATAGATCCATGGTAAATGTTCCAGACATGATCGATGGGAATTACTTGGATGACAATACATCGATGGTAAAACATCAATGGCAAGTCAAAATAGAGTAACATTGATATATCTTTATGCTTTTGATAGCATGTATCAATAAAGGAGTGGAGAAACTTTGAGACATTTCCACCTCGTACCAGTGCTGCACAGAAGACCTCAATCTTCGTGACTTTGGGAGGTTTAGAACAGGCGGACCCGCTGAAGTGAAGAGGAAGGACAAGGCCGACACGTTAGGCAGAGCAACATGTCCACCTCAAAGACATGCATATTCCAGCTGAGCTCTTTTCCTCAACATTTGGTATGGAATGTTGTGTTATTACTGTCAGTAGAAGTGGTTGTTTGCATTTATCGTTCATACCTTTTCACAGGGTAAATGTCTGTATCATTTGTTCATTTTAACGTTCAACTTATCAACGTATAATGCCTCAATTCCTATGTAAATTAAAAATTATGATGACGTGTCCTACGTGTAAGTCATGTTTTCCCTGGAAGATTCAGGGGAAGAGTAAGCTTTAAAATGCTATGACTAACCCCCTCGCTCCATTCCCCGATTTACTCCTCAACAGCCTGTCCCCATCACCACCTGATCACCTTTGTCGTTCCCCTCCATGTACTTCCACGCCCGCTGTCGTTCCCCTCCATGTACTTCCACGCCCTTCAACCGCCCGCTGACCGCTGTCGTTCCCCTCCATGTACTTCCACGCCCTTCAACCGCCCGCTGACCGCTGTCGTTCCCCTCCATGTACTTCCACGCCCTTCAACCGCCCGCTGACCGCTTTCGTTCCCCTCCATGTACTTCCACGCCCTTCAACCGCCCGCTCACCGCTGTCGTTCCCCTCCATGCACTTCCACGCCCCCTGACCGCTGTCGTTCCCCTCCATGTACTTCCAAGACCTTCAACCGCCCGCTGACCGCTGTCGTTCTCCTCCATGTACTTCCACGCCCGCTGACCGCTGTCGTTCCCCTCCATGCACTTCCACGCCCTTCAACCGCCCGCTCACCGCTGTCGTTCCCCTCCATGTACTTCCACGCCCGCTGACCGCTGTCGTTCCCCTCCATGCACTTCCACGCCCCCTGACCGCTGTCGTTCCCCTCCATGTACTTCCACGCCCTTCAACCGCCCGCTCACCGCTGTCGTTCCCCTCCATGTACTTCCACGCCCTTCAACCGCCCGCTCACCGCTGTCGTTCCCCTCCATGTACTTCCACGCCCTTCAACCGCCCGCTCACCGCTGTCGTTCCCCTCCATGTACTTCAACGCCCTTCAACCGCCCGCTGACCGCTGTCGTTCCCCTCCATGTACTTCCACGCCCTTCAACCGCCCGCTGACCGCTTTCGTTCCCCTCCATGTACTTCCACGCCCTTCAACCGCCCGCTCACCGCTGTCGTTCCCCTCCATGCACTTCCACGCCCCCTGACCGCTGTCGTTCCCCTCCATGTACTTCCACGCCCTTCAACCGCCCGCTGACCGCTTTCGTTCCCCTCCATGTACTTCCACGCCCTTCAACCGCCCGCTCACCGCTGTCGTTCCCCTCCATGTACTTCCACGCCCGCTGACCGCTGTCGTTCCCCTCCATGCACTTCCACGCCCCCTGACCGCTGTCGTTCCCCTCCATGTACTTCCACGCCCTTCAACCGCCCGCTCACCGCTGTCTTTCCCCTCCATGTACTTCCACGCCCGCTGACCGCTGTCGTTCCCCTCCATGCACTTCCACGCCCCCTGACCGCTGTCGTTCCCCTCCATGTACTTCCACGCCCTTCAACCGCCCGCTCACCGCTGTCGTTCCCCTCCATGTACTTCCACGCCCGCTCACCGCTGTCTTTCCCCTCCATGTACTTCCACGCCCTTCAACCGCCCGCTCACCGCTGTCGTTCTCCTCCATGTACTTCCACGCCCTTCAACCGCCCGCTCACCGCTGTCGTATTATGTTCATCCCGCCCCAAACAATGGTTGTCCCCAATGGCATCCTCCTCCCCTTCCCATCCATCATCTCACATCCCATACCCATTGTAACACACACACACACACACACACACAACCACACACACACACACACACACACACACACACACACACACACACACACACACACACACACACACACACACACACACACACACACACACACACACACACACACACACACACACACACACACACAGAGACACACACACACAAATCAACACAACTGCATGCTTCTTTGTAGATGTATTCAACTTCATGTCCCTTTAATGACTTGCTGCCTACAAATGGGTGACCAGAGATATGGTAACAAATCTATCTTCAGAGGTTCAGGACAAATTGTCCAAAATGAAAGCAAATATAATCTGAAGTTCACTGAGAAAATTATAAGTCATTGATAACAATTGTAAACGTATTCATTAAAAGAAGTGATTTGTTTGAGAAGCTATCAAATCACACTTACTTTAAGTGTACAGAATGACATACTGAATAAATCACAAATACCCGCAAAAATGTCGTTGTTACGTGATTTCTTCCATGTCGCCGTGGAAGAAGGGTACAATACGTCCCATTTAATTCTGGAAACCCAATAGTCCAGAAACTCTAGGTCTTTGACCAGTCTCAGTCAAAGGTATTTACAAAATTAAACATGCTGTTTTCGTAGGAACATACTAAGGAAGAAAAAATGAGAAAAAAAATGTTCAAAATCTCAATATTTATACTATGTCACCCATGGGCCTGCCCATGTGCGAAGTGTGGCCCATGGGCGAGAATGTTCTCCTTTGCTCAAAACTCATGTTTTTGTTTCGCAAATACATGAAGGTGTTCTTACAAAATTCATGACACATAATGTAACTTAATTCAACTATTTTATGTCGATATTGAAATATTTCGCCAAAGGAGTTTGAATTACGTCCGCTACTGGCCATAGAAATCCTCAAAGAATAGTAAGAATCAACCAATATGGTAAATGCCGTACTAATAACCTAGTGACGCACGTAACAACGGCTGTCAATCTGTCTGCTTCAGCTACCATACCATCATCCCCGTCACAACTGTCGTATTAACGGCTTATTCAAAATATTAATTGTAAGAAAATCGTTAACAGACTAACGTATGTCGTATCATGTCCTCTTATTTGATAAAAAGGTAAGTACTTCAACTGGAAAATCAACTGGATGTTACATTCCTTACATCAGATAACGGCCCTGTTTGTGAAAATATGCACTAGACATAACATTTAAATACTAATAAAATCAATTTTAAGACCGCATAGACCATAAAACCGAATAAAATATGTATTGGTATCATCTCTTGTGTTTTGGATGATGGTCGTGACCTGAAATGTTATAACGTTAGATTCGGGAAGGAGAAACATTAAAGTGTTGTATACTACTTGGGAACATGACCAATAAGATATAGGAACACAAACATGCATGGAATGGAATAGGGAAAATGGTGAAAACAAATTGAAACAGATTTTAATATAGGCTAGGTATTTGTCCACAGCAACACCTGCATAACTGTTTATTCACGCGTGGTGTGGTAGATTGTATCTGACCGAAAGCAGGTATTGTAGAATCACCTGTAATTAGATACAACGTACTAATGAGAATATGAGAATTATCACAAGAAAGCTGTTTTTTCTGAACCGTTCCCATTTTCAAACCAAAAGTGGCAATGCATTTAAAAGTTGCTTATAATATTCACTTAAGTCACATTTAAACATAATTCCCATTGGTCAGTTCGACACCGCATATAATTAAATAATTATTTCGAGGTTTCGTTAGAATGTGAGATAATCAGCCAGACGTTATGCAATGAAAGACGAATCGGGATTACGAATGTAATAGCCTTGGTCACGGTTGATTGACAGCTGGAATCTTTTGATGTTGATGGCTTCTTGTAGTTTGCTGATCTTGAAGTCTTTGAGGTCGGTGGTGAGGGCTGTGACTCTCTCCCACTCAATCAACCGTGACCAAGGCTATTACATACCCCCGACCTACCATCAACTCATCAAAGACCCCAATCAGCCATAATCCCGTTGTTTATATTACTGGCTTCAACCTTTGTTTATGTCACTGACTTCACCGATGATTGTCATCACTACCCTTGTGTATACATAACGGGCTTCTCCACTCCAGTATAACAATATCAACTCTACTGTATAAACATTGCCTCCTACTTGTATATATACTTGTCAACCACACTTGTCAATCCAAAACATCAGCCCCAAAAACCAAGCTCTAGCTCGTAAACACCCCTTACTTACCCCAATATCCCAAAGAATAACAAACTACCTAAATGAACACCAAATTAAAAATCTTAAACAAAACTGCAAACAATCAAATATCTTCACCCCTAAACTTAAAATACCCAAAATAGACACAACACTAGCTAGCCAAATAAATAAACAAACCGACCCAAACATAGCTAAAACTACCACACTAGCATACATACACGAAAATTGGCCAAATTGGTGTCACATTTACACGGACGGATCCTCAGATCCGACCTCCAAACACACAGGTTTCGGAGTCCATACCACACAACCAACTAAAACCACACAATCCTTCCGACTCCCAAACAACCAATCAATATTCACGGCAGAACTAATGGGCATGGCCTCAGCCCTCCATAATCAAGAATCCAAAAACCACAAAAAAATCCTAATACTTACCAACTCCCTAAGTGGACTGCAAGCCCTCCAAAACAAAAATACCAAAAACCGACCTAAATTAATAAATCAAATACTTAAAAGCTCCAACGACCTAACTAAGGCAGGCAAACAAATAACCTTCTTGTGGATACCCGCCCACTTAGGAATATACGGTAATGAAAACGCAGATAAAGCAGCTAAACTATCCCTCAAAATCCCAGAAATAAGCTTAAACTTACCCATCTCAAAATCAGAAATTAAAAGTGTAAACAAGCAAAAAATCACCAAAAAATGGCATAACCTATATCTAAACTCAAATAGCCAAATCAAAAAAGTGCTCAGCAAACCACTAACCAAACCAAAAATTCTCCATCCATCCAAAAAAATCGACAGAGTAATCACTAAACTCCAAACAGGACACACCAACCTAAATAACCACCTAAAAATTTTTAAAAAACACACTACAGGTAACTGCCCGCACTGCAAACAACCAGAAACCCCAGAACACGCACTCATCCACTGCACACACTACCTAACACATCGAACCGCATTACAAACCACCCTCAATCTAAACAAGGCTCTAACTCTAGAAGCAATACTAAACCCACAAAATAAACTAGAAAACTTCAAGGCCTTAGGCGTATTCTTAATCAAAAC